CAACGGCTTTAGTAATTTGGAATGCATATTGACCATGTAGGTTTTATTTTATCACCAGATGTCTTATTGAACTTACATCCGGGTCCCAACCATAGACCTAAGTTGTGAAATGGCATTGTGACATTTTCCACTGAGCATTTCGTTTAGGAAAAAACCTAAGATTACACACATTTTACATCGCTAGAGCCATTCATAAGGCGTGAGCTGTACTTGTGAGCACAATTTGTTAGTTCTTTAAGGCTACCAGGAATCCCTTCAATGAGTCTATCGGAAACCTTTTCCAATCACTTCGAGGACTCAATGTATAAGTGGAAGTTTTTGAGATTTCGATTTCAAAGTCATTGTCTTTTGATAGTTTTTATTTTGAAAATCTTCAAAGATACATTACATTTTGCAGGGACTGCCATATCAATAAGAAAGTGCATTTTCATTTTGTGGTCTTTATGGGCGATTAGCTTTGATTGTTCTGTGTGTAAAGTGCCATAAAATTGTTACAGATCCTGTCTCTGTAACCGGGTCTGGGTGGTGTTCATAACAATTTCTTGTATTTTTCTATCTGTAAAAGTTTCAGTTTTATTATTATTATTATTATTTTGAATGATGTTATTTCTTTCTTCATCATTTCTAAATTTCTTTTGCAATATCCACCCTTCGACCAATTTGTTTGCCTTCACCTACTTCTGAACGTTGAAGATATCCTCTTAAGAGACCCTTTTCTTACTGATGTTTTTTTCTTCTGTAGGTTAATCGATAATAAAACACGGTTAATACAAAAGATGAAATGAAACAAATAAGATGAAAAACGAAGTGCTGACACTTGGGTTGCAAGAGATGAGTAGAATTTTGTTTGCTTGCTGTTTGTACATGTTCTTCAAAACGAGTGTATGAACACTTAACGCCATACTGAAACATCGGCGCCTCTTGAACTGAACGTTGCAATGAGATAATTACCAAAGGGCAAAATAAGGAATTAGAAAAGAAAGAATTAAAAAAAAAAGAAAAAAAAAGCGTGAACAAATAAAAAAAATCGACAAATAAATCAAGTATTTTCAATTTTTTTTTTTCAATTTATATCTCAAGATTATTTTTTCTATGACAGCCGATTTGTGTCGGTGTATTTGGTACATCATAAGCTAATATATATCAAATTTTTGCAATACTTTCGAAGATATTTTTTAGCGAAAGCATGGACACAGTTCCTCTTGCAATTTCTTTTATTAATAAGCATCGTGTGCTTCGTCTGTCTCCATAGATAACATCGGTTAATATTTTAGAAGCGGATTAGCATGTTGGGGTTTGTAAATGATTCTTTTATATCAAGGATGAATTTCAAATGAGACATCAGCTCTACCAGAGCTGTTGCATTGAGGAACTGACTCTTGAAAGCCCGCTTCCTCGAATATTTTAATCTTAACCCATTCATGTCTAGGACCAAATGATATATATCAAAGAGATCTAAATAATATGCACTTTTTACTCTTTCCATGTACGTCTTTACAAAAAAACTAATTCTACCTTAAGTGGCTCAAAGGCCTTGTATTGGGTGGACATGAGTAAAAGAAAAGCGTCAACAAATTCCCTTTACCAAAAATAAGGTTTTATATCTCATTAACCAAGAACTACAGGTTCCAAATAAAATATAAAAAAAAATTAAATGGATTTAAATCAACGTGTTTTAGTGGACTCAGCAATTTTCAATCTGCTTGTTTGAATCATCTTCAAGAAGCGAGAGCAAGATCTAAAAGGTCAGCCAATCTAACAGTGATCTCATCTCACAATCCTCACACTTGCTTCATATGTGGCCTCCTTTGTAAATCACTAGCGGGTCTTAAATGCCACTTAAGATTATCGCACAAAATTTCATAACTGAATCAATAAGCTGTCAGATCCTCATACGTCGAAACCGACGGGAGAGTCCATTATATATATATATATATATATATATATATATATATATATATATATATATATATATAATAAAATTCACCCATTTAATGGCCCAAGAGCCACTCCAAATATTATGGTTACAGTTTAAAATATACATATTTTGAGGGAATAATATGTGGGGATTTTTAACGGCTTTTAGTCTTTTCTTCCGAGTATTTTCCACAAAGCACTGGAAAAATGTTAGCAATTTTTTTATGAAAGAAAACTGCAAGATTTTGGTATAGGCACCACCAAGACACGGTTACGGAAATAGAATCTGTAAGTATTTTATTTTATAAAATATAATAACACAGACAGAATTTCAAAAACTAATCGATTTAGACATGGTGAATAGAGAAAAAAAAAAAAGAAAGTCATGTTTTTCCTTATTGACATGCCAGACACTTCAGACTAAAATATAAAGTGTATCTACAAAGATCTTTAAAAAAGAAAATTATCAAACTTATTAAATTTTGAGATCGAAATCCCTAAAATGTGACACGTTAGGATTAAACAATTCCAGTATATTTAATTTGGGAATCCTCAGATTGATTGGAAAACGTAAAATAGTAAATTTTTGAAAAATCGTTGGCAATGGTTTAAAATGAAAAAAAAGAAATACAAAAATTATAAAAATTCGCAAACTCCAAACACCTACAAAAGGTTTAATGAAAAAAATATTTTTCCTAAATTAGATTGTTTTTTTTTTTATTTATTTTTTACAAAAATGCTAAATAGAAAATACTATGATGCCATTTAATTAGGACTCAGGCTGGAATCCGGAAAGAAATAAGTATACAAGATAATTCAAATATTAATCTGGTTTGAGAAAATAATATTTATATATAGTCTTCTTTATATATTATGACAATATATGTAAATTTTTAAATGGTTGGTAAAGAATCTATATATCTTAGAAAAAAATCATTTTTTAGATTTTTCATCATTTTTTTAGATGATTTTTTAGCCATTATTTTGGAAAAGGTCCATTTTATATGCCCTAAAACACTGTAACCATTCTACTCTTCAGGATCGTGGCTATACAAAATAGTGTCCATATTGAAATTTGCTTTCGGTATTCAAAAAACATTAAAATGGGCTATTGATTTACTTTTAAACCTTTCCCTTTTTTATGAATAAAAGGAAGGAGCTTGCGTTGATGACTAATTTGGAAAATACTGAGAAGATTATATTTCATTTTCAAATGCTTTACAAACTTCCATTATTAAATCTATTGTAATTAATGAATTACTTTTTCACCGTGACTCATATAACGATTGAGATGAAAGCTGAAGATATTGAAGATTAGATTTAGGATCATACAGTTTGTTTGTTTTGCTAAATATATAAAAAATGAGATAAGATAGATAATAAATATATTTATAGATAGAAGCAGAATGAGATATGTAGATAAATAGATAAAGAAGAGATCGTAAGCGATAGATAGATAGAAACAAACAGAATGAGATAGATAGATAGATAGATAGATATGAACAAACTGAGATAAATAGATAGATAGAAACAGAATGAGATAGATAGATATGAAAATAAAATAGATAGATATATAGTTAATATTTATAAATAGATAGATAGATAGATTAGATTAATTGTTAGATAGATAGGCCTTGAATTTTTAGAATGAGATAGGTAGATAGATAGATAGAAATGATTTGTAGAAACATTTTGATTTTTAGATAGACATGAAAAGATTGAAATTTTTTAAGAACTTTGTGAGATAGATAAAACCGAAAGAGATAAGATAAATGAGATAGATAGAAGAATAGATAGATAGTTATTATGAAATAAATATATATAGATAGATAAATATTTAAAGGAAGAATTCTGTTTTTAGATAGATGAATAGATAGATAAAATGATTTTAAATAATTAGAATCTTGAAATATACTATATATATATAGAAAAATTATAATTGATAAATATTTGTTAGATAAAAAGAAAGATATAATTTTTTCTTAGATAGATAGATAGATCATAGATAGAGATAGATCAAGATAGAAGATAGATAGATAAAAAAAAGAATGAGATAGGAAAAAACAGATTGAGGAAATAAAAAATTGATTTTAATCTATCGATAGATAAATATAAAGGATCATTTATATTTGAAAGGGATAAAGTTAAATACAGGAAGACTAATCAAATGTAAAAATGAAGATCATATTTAGGAACTAGGTTTTGCTTTATAACAAATTAGGCGCCCAACTGAACAATAAAAGATATTAACGTTATGAAAAAGAAATCACTGATGAATGGAAATCCTTTTTCTGTGTCCACATTCTTAGGACAGATTTTAAAAGACAGAGATTTATAAATCTATCTATCTATATAATATCTATCTATATATTCTATCTATCTTATTTCTTTTAAAATCTTTTTTATTTTTACATTCTATCTATCTATCTATCTATCTATCTATCTAACTATGAAGAACAAGACAGTGTTTATTCATTATCTATTCAAAATCTATCTTATCTATCTAAAAAAATATCTATCTATCTATCTATCTCATGTATATTCAAATCATGTATCTATCACAATCTATTCATTTATTTATTAAATATATATATCTATGAGAAATCTAGAAAAGCATGACACCTTTATTTTGAAATGTTTGCAAGCCATTGTTTTCAAATAAAAGGCGTATTGCAAATGAGATTCATTTTTAAAGTTTTTACACCCAAATTTCTGATCCGGATTTTATAAAATTTATAAAAAATCACTTGCTTCTTACTTAAAAATTAGAGAAGGATTATGGAATGTTAATCTTTTCTCTTTTCTTTTCTTCTTAGATATAATTTTAAAAGCAAAATCGTTTTAAATTTCATGGGGGAAAAAAACCAGTCATCATTCTGACTCCCTTTGGCCATCCATAGATAACTTTCACTAACCATTGAATACTTTTCCGCCCAGAATCAAATGGGCAAACAATTATCAAAACCTTCCATCTTTTTATCCTTTCAATTAATGGCCGCTCTGCTTTGCTCAAAAGAATAAAGAAGACAAGATTTCGATTTGAAGCAGATGTTTATCGTCGGGTGAAGGGGGAGATTACCAAAGAGTCGATATACCATTGTTCATCTGTAATTCGCCAATTTAATAAAACGATTCTATGGAAGATTATTGTTCAATTGGAGAAATATGTCTCCCGGATATTGAAGCAAGGTCGGAAGAGTAATTGCTGTAATGTTATTACAGTCAAATACACTTCTCATTACAATAAAGTCGAGTCAGCTTAAATTAATGTTGAAATATTTATTATGCGAGCTTCTAGTACTACGTCCACGTCTCTCCACAACTTCCTGTCTTGTAGCTATTAGTAATGTTTGATTTTGTAAATATTCATCTCACCCTCGTTCTGCCACCCGTTCACACAATATATATTTAGATAAAATATATTTTTGCCTTCACGTGTATCTAAAACTTTTCAATATATCTTGTTTGTCAAATTTTCCAAACCTTCCTTTTAACGTTATCATAAAAATTTATTATCTTATCACTGAAGTTATGAAGCCTTGAATCTGGTCAGTACTTGCGAAGATAATAATTTAGAAATAACAGGATCTATAAAGGAATCAGTTCGTTATCAAATTTACCAATTTGACTGATTATTACTTTAATGTGAATAAGAACACGGAATCAATAAATAAGAAAGGAATAAAATTAATTAATGTACAAAATGATCATTAAATATATGATAATTGTTTGAATTTATTGTTTTTGTTAAAATAAATATTTGAGAGATTAATGACGGAACAAATTCAATACTGAAACAAAAAAGTAGACAATACAATATAACGTTACAACTCGAAATGGTTTTCCTACAAATTTGAAAATACCTCCGCGTCCATAAAAAATATTTTCCGTCCTGTGTATGACGATAACCTACATCCGCGTCCTGGGTAAGACGATAAACTACGTCCGGTAGCAAGGCCTCTTATCAGGAGGTTTTGAGGAATGTGGAACCATCTCTTAATTGCTGGTGGTTCCAAGTCCACCCCTGATCTGGGGTGGTAGCACCTGTTAAGGTCCAAGCTATTTTAAAATAAATAGTTATTTATATAAAAATGAATATTAAAAAAAAAACTATGTAAGTGTAAAAGTACATTTTAATACCAGAAATACTTTGTAAAAAATTATTACCAGCAATAAATTTTTGAAGACAAAAAAAAATCTATTACCAGCAATACATTTTTGAAGGAAAAATATTTAAACAATTTTTTTCAGAAAAATAATATATTACCAGCAAATAAAATTTTGTCGAATTAAATAACCCATTGAATTTGATATGCCGTAAAACAAAACAAACCAAACCAATATATAGTGAGATAAATGCATAGATAGATAGATTATAGATAGATAAATAGATAGATAGATAGATATAAAAAATATAACCAACATTAAAATCTTGTCTAAAATTATATAACCCACTGAGGTAAAAGTAAAAAAAAAAACAAAAGATATATAATCCGGTGTTCTTATTGATATTTTTTTTTGCAAAATAGTGCTCAATGTAAAAAACAGAGCATTGAGGATGCAATGGAACTAATGTCTTTAATTTAATTGCAAAAATTAAATTCGTTTTTTTTTAAAATATTTTTGAAACATGGTTAGAACTGTGTAGCGAAAAAACATATTTTAAATCAATTAATTTTAATATATATATATATATATATATATATATATATATATATATATATATATATATTATAAAAAGATAGATAGATATAAAGGGACATAAATAAATAGATAGATAAAAAACATTACCAGCAATAAAAATCATTGAGGTTGATATGCCGTAAAACAAACCCAACCAAACCAAATAAAAAATGTTACGTTACTAAAATAAATAAGAAAAGGATAACAGAATAAAATTAATAGTCCGGCTATAAATAATGAAAGTAACAACTTTAGAGAAAATGCAAATATGGAAGAAATTTACATTCAAGAATTATTTGTTACTTTTTCATTACAGTCCCTGTTTAGGGATATCTTACCAAGTTCATACGTCATATTCTCCTCCTTGTTTACAGTGAGTCAGATTCTATAGTACATGGAATTCAATAAACAACACTTTAATTGCTATTGTGTTTTGTCTGCCTATGGCTGAAGTTGGCGTAGATTCTATCTTGATGTCACGCTTGACCTCCTTTGCTGCGGATTCTCTTCTTTACTGTTGCGATTTTTGAAACCTTTCTGTCCGTCTTGATTGCATTTCCCCGTCGTTTTTCTTTCTTTCTTTCTTTCTTTCTTTCTTTCTTTCTTTCTTTCTTTCTTAAGGCTCCCATGTGGTATTTATATCTACGCTAGACCTACTGATGGGGTTGTCTAGCGTATGCGCTGATTCTTCAGTTTGAAAGATGCCGAGATCGACCGGCACCTAAAAAAGACTGGAGGTAAAGTCTGAAGTTCTGTGATAATAGCAACAGTTCTTAGAACATTAGTCAAACTATAAATAATGCAAATAATGATAACTTCTCATCCTAGAAATTCAGAAAGAAATTCTCATTTCAGTTGTTTTATTTTCTTCATGGAACCGTTTTTTTGCTTCTCTGCATTTCAAACAGGGATAATCGGAAAATTCTTCGAAGAATTCATGGAATAAAAAAAGGAATAATTTTTTTTTTGTTGTGGGGGAATACATAATTTGCCGAAAAGTTGACGGAAGTTTACAAAAAAAGAAATAGGAAAAATGACGGAGATGACTGAAGAATGTTTTGAGTTTAGATGACTCAACGATTCTATAAAGTATGAGAAATACTGAAAACATTTACATCAACCTACGGATTGAATATATTTGGTTGCTAAGGAGAAAATATAACATTGCAGAAATTCTAGGAGCGGCCGAAGATGGAATATGGATGGGAAAATATCGATCAGCAATGATTTTTTTCAAAAACTTAACATGACGTTGATATTATACTAGTCTCGTCGCTAGACAAAGTTGAATAATTATATGAATTTCAGTTATAGCTTAGATAGTTGTCAAATATCCTCCAGAGTCAGATATTCGATCTCATGTAACATTCCAAAAAATTAAACGCTGATTTTAAGAGAGGGAAGGTTATCCTTCATTGGGAAACTGGTGCAAAATGTCTTTCTTTTTCATATTTAATATATTAAACCCAATAAAAGGCTCGGGAGCCACTGAAGCAAGAGTGCTGCAGTCAAAATTCTAACGCTGAATAGCAGAGAAAGTTTTAACAAGTGAATGTTATGTGAGTAACGAGGCAAGATAAGGATTAAAACTATAACTATGGTCAAGTTTGAAATGCTCAGAGAATCACCTTCCTGGAAATCTACCAAAATGACAGTTCTTGGGAAAAGTCCGTTTGAATAGGACTTTATATATATATATATATATATATATATATATATATATATATATATATAATGTGTGTGTGTGTGTGTGTGTGTGTAAAGTGAATATTGAATCAACACTCAGAGGCGACGGGCGGCTTCATGCAGGACGCAATCGTCAGGCCGCGAATGCTGGATTTCCACGTCAAAATGCAGACATGAAAACAAATTTTTACTATGTTACTTAAAAATCGAAAACTGAAATGAATAAATACAAATAAACGAAATAATCTATAAAATAAGTAAAATATATTAACGCAGACAAATAATAAACCACTCCCGGTAGAATAGACGAAATAGAATAAATAAAAATAAAAAACAAAAATCGAGTAAAAACAATCAACCCAAATAAGTAAATAAAGTAAATAATAATAAAGAAAATTAACAAACCAATCCCACCAAAATGACCGTCAGGATAGACTACAATAACCAATCCAAAAATTAGACGTAGAAATACCTATAACTGCTATGTACGTATCAATAAAAAATCGAAAACCAAATAAAATAAATAAAAATATACAAAATACATAGTAAGTAAATAAATAAAAAAATAATAAAAATAATCCAAATAAATGTACAAATTAAGAAATCGCTCCCGCTAAAATAACCGTTAGAACTAATAAAAATATGTATAAATAAGCAAAAACAAGTAAAAATAATCAATGCAAATAAATAGATTAAAAACTCTCCACCTGCCAAAATAACAGAATAAACTACGGCAAGCAATCTAAACATTGGACGAATAAATAGCTTTAATTATCTTTCCAGACCAAAACAAACTATTAAATAAGCGACCTAAGCAAATCCTACCCCATATTTTTTTACTACGTTAATAAGACATCAAAAAACCAGAAGCATAAATAATAGAAAATGAAAATAAAAACAAGTAAAATAAATTAACCCAAACAAATAAATAAATAAACAAACAAGCCACTCCTGCAAATAACTGCCAGAATAGATTACCCACAATGCACCACTGACCCATATATAAATAGCCGAGGAAAAATCCAGCATACGTGGCTTGACGATTGCGTCCAGCATGAAACATCCTGTCACATCTGAG